GGGTAAATTACCCAGTCTCATCTTTAAAATGCAGTTTTTAATGGTATCTTCCTCACTGGGTTGTTTGTGAGACTTCGATTAATTCACACAGAGTGCTTAGAACAATGCCTGGCATATAAATGTTTAACAAATGTTCTCTACTCTTATGATCCACCTCTGTGCCACTTTTCTCTGCCAGAATTACATTTCCAGCTTCTCTCTGCCTCCTTAAACTCAGTCCAGCTCAATCTCCTCCTCCTCCATGAAATCTTTGGGCAGTATCCAGTCTCCTGACCTCTGTTACGTGTGGCAACGAGACCAGAGCCATTTTGAGAGCAAAGGACTATGACGTGAACTGCACTAACTAAATGAATCACAGAATAACATCTGCACTAATCGCCTTAGTGCTATCAAACTTTCTGACTGTGAGCCACAGTAAGAAATATATTTTACAGCATGGACCAGTCTACGCATTTGGTATCACTGTGTACATTTGATACACAATGCATTTGTATATAAACGTTGTATAGAATATGAAAAAATAAAATGAGCTGGGTGTGTTGGCACACACATTTTGTCCCAGTTACTTGGGAAGCTGAGGTGGAAGGACTGCTTGAGTCCAGGAGGTCGAGGCTGCAGTGAGCTGTGATCATGCCACTGCATTCCATCCTGGGCAACAGAGTGAGACTGCGTCTGAAAAAAAAAAAGGAAGAAAGAAAGACGAAAGAAAGAAAGAAAGAAGAGAAAGAAAGGGAATAAAGAAAAAGAAAAAAATACACTGTCCCAAGAATAACCCTGAGTCTTTCCTCCAAAGGCCCCAAACCCTGAAAAGATTACAGGTGAATGGGGTGTTTGTGGGACAGAGACAGAATCAAGGGAGGCTGCAGTGGATGGTGTGTGGAAACAGAAGACCAGAGAGCAGGCTGAGCTCAGATGTCAAAGGGCGTCAACTGCCACACAAAAGAGTCTGGACATTTTCTATAGACACTGGAATTTTCTAAGCAGAGGAAGACAATACTTGGCTATGTGTTTTGGAAAGATCTCTGGGACAGCTGTGAGGAGAATGGACTGGAAAGGCTAACCCACAGAGAGGGAAAACCATGAGGAAGCTCTGTTGAGCATCCAGGTGAGAGAGAACAGATAAGGCCATAATTCAAGAAACACCTGGAAGAGTGGAGAACATGGCGGAGACAAAAGTCAGAAATGGTGAAGACTGAAATCAGCAGCGGAAGATTTGAGCTTGGGTAGCTGGGTCAATATGATGCTGGTTTCCAAGGTAGGTACAGAGGAAATTTGTCCAGGGACAAAACAGTTTTGGAATAAGTTTGAGATACCCATTGGGAAAATTTCACTGGGAAACATAATTCTCATTCTTCCGCTTATTCAATAAACATTTATGGGACTGATGTAAACTAACGTTTTATTTTGCCAAAGTAGAAACATTAAAGAAATAAAGTAATTTCTATCATTACCATCATTTCAAATAACATTTACTACCAAAAATTAGGAAGAGCATACTCTCAGAATGAAGGACAGCCCTTTATAATTTTTTTTTTTTTTTTTTTGAGACAGAGTCTCACTCTGTGGCCTAGGCTGTATAGTGCAGTGGTGCAATCACGGCTCACTGCAATCTCTGCCTCCTGGGTTCAAGCAATTCTCCTGCCTCAGCCTCCCAAGTAGCTGGGATTACAGGTGTGTGACACCATGCCTGGCTAATGTTTGCATTTTTAGTAGAGACGGGTTTTTGCCATGTTGGCCAGGCTGGTCTTCAACTCCTGACCTCAAATCATGTGCCCACCTCAGCTTCCCAAAGTGCTGGGATTTCAGGTGTGAGCCACGGCTCCAGGCCTAGTTCTTTATAACTGAATAAATTTATTTATCGAAAAACTTTCCTAGTAAAGTTTTTCTCATTTTGCCACGAAAACATTGCTGTATAACATCAGCCTGGGCTGTGGACTGTAACTGGAGAACCACTGATTCGAGGAATGGGCAGAGGAAGACAGGCCAGCAAAAGAGACCATGAGGCATGATTCCAGAGGCAGGAGGAAAACCAGGAAAGTGTGATCATGGAGGCCAAAAGACAGGAGAGTTTCAGAAATGAGGACTTGGCGCCAATTTGCAGTTGGCTGAGGTGTGAATGGGAAGGCGGGAAAACTGGAAGTCTAGCATGTAGACTACTTTCAACAAATTTGAAAGTGAGAGGAAAGAAAAAAGAGAGGAAAACTGGAAGTCTAGCATGTAGACTACTTTCAACAAATTTGAAAGTGAGAGAAAGAAAAAAGAGAGGAAAGGAGAGGGAGAGAGCAAGCAAGAGAACACACAGTGGAGGGGGAGTTCTTGTTTTTTGGGGGATAACAGAGACAAGCATTTTGTAATCAGAAGAGAAAGAGCTGATAGAGGGAAGCTGAACTTTCCTGAAGACAAGAAGCATAACAAATGGTTGGAGGAAGGGCCCAGGAAGGAGGTGGATGAGGCCAAGGCCCAGGCAGAGGGATTAGCTTTTAACTAGAGGGGCACCTTGTCCCCTGAGAAGAGAGGGCTGGAGGGGAAGGAAGTTGGAAAGGCAGGCCAAGTTTGAGGGGGGAGTGGGGCAGAGAGCACTGAGGTAATTCACGCTTGAAGGCCTCTGTTTTCTCAAGGAAGTAGAAGGAGAGGTTATTCCGTGCAGAGAGAGGGGAGGAGCAGGAACACGGTAAGGAGCTGAAGGAAGTTTGGAATGTGGCCAAACTGAATGTGGAGGCTGGAGCTGGGGCCTTGACGAGGGAACATGCTCAAGGATGACTGAGGGGCGCCAGCGGGGCAGCTGAAGTTGAGTCTACCTTCTCCCTGTGGGTCTTGTCTCCCTCACTAAGCTTGAGGCAGAGTCCACGGCACTTTCCTTTCCCGTCCGTCCCCTTGCTAGGCAATGCTCGCCCAGTTTGGCCCAGAGGAGTCACCCAGTACTCTCAGAAAGGTCTAGGAAAGCGATCACTGGCAAAACCCAGAAGCGCTATAGGACTGTTACGGGGAACAGAGGTAAGATCTTAACTGTTCTGATAGGAAGTTCTCCATCTTGGTTGATCCAGACCTTTTCTGCTACCCTGCTGACCAGTTTAATCCTGTTTCGTGTTAAGTGAAAAGGAGAACAGCCAGCTTTTGCCCAGCAACACTTGCAGGCCTTAAATCTTACAGGCCAGGAAAAAGCCAACAAGAGGAGCCAGCGGCTTCACGTCCCACAAGCTAAAGGAGGCCGAGGCAATTCCTAGGAGGTAGCAAGACAGAACCATTGCATAGGAAGGACAAAGCCGTGGAAACAGGACTGAAGGCTCCCCGGGCTCCAGGAGAGCATGCTGGGAGCTGCGTGTAAGCAGAACCCTGAGGACTGCTGCTCAGGGGAGTGAAGGGACTGGACAGCTCCTAATGTGAAGGGGGTGACTGAAGGAACACGAGCTGAAGGTGGGAGGTGGCATGATGGGTGGCATGGTTGGGTGTGGTCGGGCGTGAGCCCCGAGCTCAGGAGGAATATATGCCTCTGAATCCTCTCCTTCCTTCCTTCTGCCTATTCTCAGAGGCCACTTAGAGGTGGAAAAGATCCTAGAGTATGACAACAAGTGCTGTGCTGCTTTCTCCTTCGCACGCCGTCTCCTCCTTTCACCAACGATGCAGTCAGTACAAGCAAACGCTCAGCTCAGGAAGGTAAACTTAGCAAGAACTCTCAGAGACTGATAGGTGCTCCAGCTCCCCGACAACCCTCTCTTTCCCCACGAGATTTCCCTCTTCAGGACCCAGGATCCAGCTTGCACTTAGAAAATTCAGGGACAGAGAGCGCACTCCAGTCCGAGGCAGCACGTTCCACTGAACTCATTTCACCTCATATAATAAACCTCTTTTTATTGAGGGCTGGGACTGTGCCAGGCCCTTGGGTTAGGTGGTGACTGAGCCGTTAGAAAGTTTTCCTTTGATTGAGCCAAAATGTGTCTCTCTGTAGCTTCCAGCTATGGGCCTCAGCCCTGCCCTTTGAAGTCACCCAGAACAAGTGTAATCTCATTGCAGTCTAATCCTCAGATACTTGAAAATATCTATCATTTCCCTCAGCTTTCTGTCCTCTACAGATAAACATTTCTTTCTTGGTTTATTTTTACTTTTAGTGCCTTTCCTTTATATTACTCCAATAATATCAGTTCATTGTGGAACTTTTTAGAAAATTCAGAAAAACATAAAGTAAAAATCCATCCTACTGTTACTCCCAGAAATGACAACCCTAGCACTGTTTCTAATCACCAGTCTTATTTCTTCTCTGCACGCTGTCCATTCTACGCTTCTTTCTTATCAAATGGGATCATCTTGTAAGTAGGATTTTAGATGCTTATTTTGTTTTCACTCACCGTATTGAAAAATACGGTAACTTTTCCCTCATTCTTCTACCATGCCAATTTTAATATGAAATTCTGTAACTGCCCAATGATTTATCTAAGCAGCTTTAAAAAGTGAGACATTTAGGTTGTTTTCAATTTTCCTTTGCTGAAAAGAACACAGTGGGACTAGAATTGGAAGTGGGGTGAAGATGGGGGCTAAGGATGTTTAGCTTCTTGAACATCCAAGAAGCTAAATCTGTGCTGGGGCTGGACACTGAGGTCAGAAGGAATATTTTTGAGATCTCTGAGGCATAAGGTCCCTGCCAGTAGGTGAACAGAGAAACAAGGAGCCCTTAAATTAGTCATGTTATTTTACCATCTGATTTTTTTTTTCATTTTCTGTGTTATAAAAATTATGCTTCCCAGAACATGATTGTGAGCACCTGCTTGATATTCAGCTGCAAGGATTTGGCCTAATTAATGTTACTGGTTTCCTATTATTGGATGCGGAGGTTGTTTCTAATTTTTGACCATTACAAACCAGACTGTGATAAACATCCAAGAAGCTAAATCTGTGCTGGGGCTGGACACTGAGGTCAGAAGGAGTATTTTTCGAGACCTCTGAAGCATAAGGTCCCTGCCAGTAGTTGTAACTAGAAGCTTTCTGGCAAAGGTCCAGACGGCTGGCTAAGGCCAAGGAGTCGCTCTGGGCTTGCCCGGGTTCAGTACCCATTCATGTAGCCCCCATCAAAGAGCGCTCAGGCTGGCAGGGTCCTATGGGACCACTGGGCCAGCATGCTTCTCTCTCCCGTGAGGGAACTGAGGCCTGGGGCTGGGGCTTGTCCTTCAGCACCTCTGCAATCAGGGAGAACTTTGCCTCTCCCCAGCACCCTGGTTCTTGAACTGGAAGCTGAGCTCTGAGGTTTGGAATCTGACCCAGAGGTCCTGTGAAGTCCTGTCTGCTCTCTTTCACTAGACCACCTACTGTTGCGGCTGGAGGGGACACTTTGGCAAATGAACTGCTCGGTAAGGGTCTGGCTGAGGGGCACTGAGCGAACACTTGAGGTTGACCCTTCAGGCAACGGGGCTTGCTGTACCCAGAACACCTTTTTTGTCCCTAACCCAGATGATGTGCTTAATGGCAGTCACCCTATATTCAGATCCACCTGGCAAGTCTATCTGAGGTTAAGCTGAAATAACAAGTGAGTACCTCATTCTCCTTAAAGGGGTCAGCTGTCTCTTCTTGCCAGGAACTGGTTTTGTTAAAGGCCTGTCTCTTCACCCGTCTGTGCCTGACAGCTCTGTGGTTTCAGAGTGCTAATGAGCTCCTCTCCTTCCCGTCTCAGGCCTTGCTACTGCCTGGGGAATTCACACAAATGGTGTGCGATTTGCCTCTTCTGTGTTTCCCTTTCTGACTTGGAGGCCAAGCAAATCCCTCACCTCCCACCGACACCATGTTTATTCAACTGGGAGAGATTTCACACCCAGGAACCCAGCTCTCCCTCCCTGAGCCCCTTCCCTAAATCCTCGTCCCACTCTCAAGTCCTCCCAACCCTGTTCTCCCGGAATAATGTATAAGACCAGGCAGGGCTTATAAAAGGGTCTCCCAGGAAAGGCCCAAAGAGTGCAGAAGGTTCTGGGAAATAGAAGACCCCACAGCCCGACTGGCTTTGGTCACCTAAGAATGGACTCTCCTGCCTGTGCTGCTTCCGCCACCCCTGTTCCAGCGCTGGCCCTGGCCCTTGCTCCGGCCCCAGCACAAGCCCCGCTGGCACTCCCTGGCCTGTTAAGCGCGTCTCCTCTTCTCTCCTCTGGACAAGAAGTAGACGGGAGTGAGAGGTAAGTGGAGCTTGGCCTTTGGCAACCTGAACTTAGGCTTGAGGGCTTCCTGAGAAAGGAAGAAAACCGAGACGTCCAGGGCATCCTGTTCTCTGTAAGGGGGAAAAGCAATGGCCTCAGAGCTCTCCCTTCACATCTCTAGCTGCAATATCTCATCCGGCTTTTCACCTCACTCATCCCGCTGGGTGGGAAGAGGGGACTTGGGGGCAGTGGGTATTGCCAAAGCCGAAGGCCAAGCAGCCAGGTCCCCATAGGCCAGGTGGGTGAGTCCCCTGAGGGGGATGAAGAGACTGCCAGGAAACCTGGGCTTAACAAAATCTAGACTGTGGGGGTGGGGAGTGTGGGGAAGGAGGACCAAAGTCTAAAGAGGCCCTTGACTGGGAGATTGCCTGTTACCCGACCATGCCATCAGAGTTTCCATTTGCTTTTTTCCTACCTCTGCAAGTCCAGTGGGGACGCATTGGGCCCAGGAATATTTCTGGTCCTCTTCCTCAGCCCAGGAAGATGGTTAGACTCTGAGCTCTACTTCTTGGAGCAGGAAGTAGAAGGCAAGATATTTTCCACCTAACCCCCATTCATTTCTCCAAACATTCAGCCTTCAACAAACATTTACTGAAACAGCTACTGTGTACCAGACATTGTGCTAGGGATTGAGGAATCAGATACGATTGAACGTGTCTTTGAGCTTAAGAAGCCCAAAGACAAGTAAATGGACAATTCCACAACAGCATGATAAGAGAAATAATAACATTTCTGAAGCCGAGAGGAGGGGCATCTGTCCTGGCCCGGGCTCAGGAGCCTTAGGAAAGGCTTCCTGGAGCAGATGGCACCTGAGCCAAGCTTTTGGGAGGCCTCTTGTTATCTCAGGGAGCCCACATTTCAGTCTCTTCCTCTACCGATTGATCTCTCCTCTTGTCCCAGAGGAGCTTGTCTCTGGAGGCCCTGGCTGTCCTCCACAAATGACTCCCTAAGGCAGATGAGGAAGCTGGTGGATTTGGTGAGTTTGAGCCCTTGTGATGCATGTTCACATGCAGCCACACGCATTCACACTGACCATGTCACTTCCCAGAGATGCCCCTGACCTCAGTCCTGGGCTGTAGATCCGAGATAGCATCCTCACAGTTTTGCCAACATTTGATTCCAACAGAGAGCAGATCCAAGTTTTCTGTGGCAATTGGAAGATGAGGAGGCCATGGTTCAGCGTGGGCCAGGGATCTGAGCAGGCCCCACAGCCACTGTGAGGCAGTGCTGGTGCCCGAGGCCTGGTCTCCTGGCACCTCGCTCCAGTGCTCTCCCACCCACAACCATCTCCCTGAATCTTTGCTGCTCCAGTAGAACTCTGTCCCCTGGACAGCCTCCAAACAGGTGTTGGAACAGAGGCAAGGAAGCAAACAACCCCCAGGATTCTGTTTACCTGTTTTTCAAACAGAACCAAGAGAGATCCCTTGTTGAGGGGTGGGTGTAGGGGGTTGCTGGGTCCCAGAGATGTCTAAGGTCTTTTCTAGATCATCTTACCTGCAGCTTTCTGACCTCTGGTACAGAGGAGGAAGTTGTCTAGCCATGTACTTTGAACCACATGCTAGCTCTTGCTTTGGACAGGCTGCCAGTGGGACAACAGCTGCTGAGGTCACCAAGGCTGAATCCAAGTTCCATCACCCTGTCAGGTAAGCTTCTGGCATCAAGCTCCAAACTTGACATAGATCCATTAGCTCTTTGCGTCTTCACAAAAGTCTTGTGAAGCAGGAGGAGGGAGGGACTGCTGGTTTATGATCGCTGTTTCATAGAAGAGAAAACTGGAGCCCAGAGAGTTTAAGGGACTTGGCCAAGGCTGTCTTTCCTGGAGGCAATGTCAATGACACCCAAGAATGATCCCCCATGGATGGGTCAGTGAAATAATCCTCAGTGGAAGTAGATGGGGGCCACAGGGCTGGAAAAATTCTTGGCTAGAAGCCTCCTGGGGTAGATAGCGGGTGTGGTCAGAGCCACAATTGACAGATGCTGTGGCTGGGTCCCCCACCCACCACTACAGGCCCACCACTACTTCCTGTGTGGGGCCATTTTGTAACAATGCAGAAGGTTCTGTTACAAAGCTCTCTTTCTTCCTTTCCCTCTGACCTCATTGTTGAAGCCAAGAGAAGGGGTTTAGGGGCTAGCTTCTTTCTTGGCCCTACTGGCCCTTCTGCACATATGAGACCTGTCTAAGTTAGGGACCATGTTTCTTCTCTGTCCACAGGCTCTTCTGGCCTAAATCTTACTCCTTCGATTATCTGTACAGTGCTGGGGAGACTTTATTGCAGAACTTTCCTATCCAGGCAACCATCAACCTATATGAGGACTCAGACAGCGAAGATGAAGAAGAGGATGAAGAGGAGGAGGAGAAGTAGGAGGCTGATGAAAAGGAGCCAGAAGGGTGTGTGAGGGTACCAGGGTTCATATCTTACAGCGCCATAGCTCATTTCTCTTCCTCACCCCTGGCCTATCCAAATGGAGGCAGCCAGAGTCTGATTGGGGTTGTTTGTCAGGCAAGTTTCCACAGACTTCAATTAGCCAGGGGTATTAGTCCAGCAGGTAGAGATTTCTGGACTGAAAATTGGGTCCTCTGGCTGCCCAGCTCACCACAGCTTACCTGACTGCCTTGTGAGCCCAGACTTCTGGCATCTCATTGTCTGGGCTGCTGTTGCGTTGACAATGGGAGCGTTCTAGGAGCTCTAGAAAAAGGAAGGCTTGCCGAAGCCCCAGGAAGCAGAGCAGGACAGGGCACGTCCTTGTGGAGGGAAGTCGTTACTCCTCAGGCCCTTTGACTCCCCAGCCTTCCCAGGTGGCCTGACTTCTGGCAGATCCATGCAAGGTTGGGGTGCCTTTTTGATGAGTCCTACAGGAAGGGAAGGGGGCGTGTAGAGAATCGGCTTGCTCTGGAGATGCCCCCCATTTTGCCTGCTATCCATTAAAGTCTGTATGTTGGCATGAGATGAATCAGTCGAAAAATAAACTTGATGGTGTTTTTCTTTTTCTTGGAACTGTGCTGATTTCTTAACTGAACTCTGCCCATGTTGTGAAGCCATGGGCAGAGGGTCAGAGACCAGTTCATTGCTGTCCCTACCTGAGGTCAGTTGATAAGTTTTTCTTCACGGGGATGTAGGGCTGGGGACCCAGCATGGGGCCAGGCGTCTTCCATCAATTTGTGAAATCCAACTTGATTGAACTTCAAGAACATCTTGGAAAGGGAACAAAAATAGCTCCCAAAAGCCAGCTTGAAAGTTGGGAGTAGGGATGGAGGTTACAGGGCAAAAGTAACAGGTACAGCCTCATTTGAGTCTCAGAGATGGCTGTGTGCATGTGGGGAGGAGGGCTACCAGGTCCTAGCAATTTTCCCCCCTCAATTCCCTTTGTATTTACCACAGCTCAGACCCTCATGCTTACTCCTGCTTCAATTATTCTTTGACTATTTTTTTCGCCTCCAGTTGTCCCTTTGCAATTCATCTTCCACACTGACCACCAAACAAGACCACATCATACCTTTGCCAACACTGCTAAACTTATCTTTTTCTTTTTGTCACAGATTCCCTTGAGAACCTGTGGCTTCTCTACTCAGAAAAATATATATGTTCACAGCACACACACACACACACGTGTGCGTGTGCACACACACACACACACACACACACAGTGGTATATCTTCACAAATCAAGTCCTTAACTTGGTATTCTAGGCCTTTCAGTTGTCTGAGTTTCGCTTGTCTCTTGAGACTCATCTCCCAACTCTTGAAGTTTACACTGCCTCTCCTCGAATGTGGTATGGTTTCTAACACTCTGTGTCCTTAACCCTGTCTGGAATGCCTTTCCACTTTTGCATGCCTCGTAAACCCTCATTCATCCAACAGGACCAGCTGAGATACCCCTGCTGCAGGAAGCCTCCCCAGACCCCTCAGGCACCAGGTTGGGAGCCCCCACTCATCCAGAGCCTCCCCTATCATAGCATGTACCTTCTTTCCTGTACAATAACCTGGGACTGCGTTTGCTGTTCCCATATGATTTCATGGTACACAACACTGCCCGGCACAAAGGAGGTGCTCAGAAAATGTTGAAAGAGAAAATATTCTCAAGTCTTCCTTAAGTAGCTCTTGGTGGAACCACCATTGGCTCCCAACTTGCTAGCTTCTGGGTTTAGCTACAAAGGGGAGAGGGTAATGTCATCTCATTCAGGAGCAAAACGATGACCATCCTTCTTTTCCTCCTCCCTCAACATGCTCTGAGCCCTAGCTGGGACTTCCCTACATTGGACGCAACTTTGAGTAGACCACCAAACTCACACACTGGTGCCATCTATTGGTCAAAATTTAACCTTGTTCCTTAATTAAGGCTTCCAGGCAGTTGACCTTTGACTACATTAATTCTTTTAGTCCATTCTGTTTCTGTTTGTAAGTGGAGTCTACCATGTGCTAGCAGTATGACCTTGGGCCGATTCCTTATCCGCTCTGAGTCTCAGTCTCCTCGTTTGTAAAATGAGGCTAATAATATTTCCTCTTGGAGCTATCGTAAGGATTAAATGAGATAATATATGTAAACTACTTAGCATGGCCCCTGGCACATAGTACAAGTACTTAACAAATGGAAGTTGTCATAGTAGTGGTAGTCTTAGTAGCTGCTATTACTGATTTTATAAAGGAAATGATCTTATAGGCCAGAGTCAGCTAATGATGATTTACTTAACTAATAACTGATTTGTCAGTTACCACCACTTGATCGTCTTGGCACCATTTGATGGTTTACCGGTAAAAGCATCTTTGGAGTGTTTATTCCAAAATGAATTTTAAAAACTGCAAACAATAATAATATTAATAATAAATGGAAAACAGAGGCCAAGTGTGACTCCCTGGACTGCTGTCTACATTCAAATGGTAGCCCACAGTTTTTGGCTCCCTTTTTCCAAGGCCAGAGGTTTATAAACGTATTTTTTGTGCTTTCGTAGGAAAACCTTTCTTTTGAATTGAATGCAGAAGCCCAATATATAAATCAAATTAAAATAGAGCCACCCTGGTGGAAGCCATGGCGGGGGGGAGCCCAGAATTCCTACCCTGGTGTCTTCTCTCTGGTAAAGTAACTGTCTCCACCCCCCTTTCTGTGATGTACTTTCAGGGATCCCCAGATTGTGGGAAGCATAATTTGGAAACCACTGTTCCAAGGGTTAAACCAGGATTGATTTGAAGTAGAAGGGAGATTAATTAGTACTTTACAATGCCCAGTGTTCTGTTTAAAATCCTTGTTTTAGGTCGTAAGCACCCAGCATTTCATAGCTCAAAAATTGCTCGAATCCTTATACCATAGGTTATAGGGATTTAAAATCCTTGGAATCCCAATATCCTTGGTTTTAAGGTATTATATAGCATAGAATTACAAATCCCTAAATCCTGGGGATTTAAAGACCCTAAAACCCTTGGAGCAGTAATTCTAAACTCAGAATGGGCTCTTCTCATTTCCCAACCTCCCTCCCACCGCCCCCGCACACGTGCTGTTGTTTACTGGGCAGACATTTTGTCTCATTGTCTTCTGAGTCCCATGTCCTGAAATGGCTTCCAATCCTCCTCCCCATGTGTGGTTGCTAAGTGATTGGAATTCACTGTTCTGACTGATCAGAGCTCACTAGGAGTTACTTTGTTATAGGTGTTTCCAATCCTTGTAACAACTTCAATTCAAGTGCACAAACTCAGGAGAAAAATCTCTGTGCAAAACTCTAGAGTCCTTCCTCCAGCCCCACCAAGCTGTCCCGTCCTAGTGTGCCAGCACTTCCCCATCCTAACACTGATTTCCTCTTATTTCTCCCAACTTGTAGCAGCAGTGAGAGGACACATCTGTTGAGGTGAGGCTGCATTTGAGCTCGGCCTTGAAGGATGGGCATGAGTAATAACGGAGGGAGAAAACTTTCCAGAAAGAGGCAGCACTATGAAGTCCTTCATTAAACAATATTTATTGAGCACTTACTATGTGCCAGCCCTTAATGTTGCCATGATTAAGAGCAGGGGCTTTGGAAGCAGATGTACCTGGGTTCAAATGCCTTATCTGCTGCATGCTGGCTCAATTCATGGGCCCACTTCCCTCAAGTGTCAAGGTCAGCTCTCTGCTCTTAACCCTTTCACTACAACCTCTGTAGTTCTTTATTGTATCACACCTCTGCCCCACACAGCACATGCTCATTAAAATAGTTGCCTATTCTCCTTTGTCTCTGGGCACGGAAAGCCCTCTGTGTACCCAGTGGGTGTTACAAACCCCCACCTCTCACCCCCTCCCCAGTCCCCTGTTGTAAAATGGTGGCCAATCACCCCCCAAACAAAGTTGTTAGGGGACCTGAATCCACTGTTTTGTCCTGTCGGGAACGTGGTGTTGATTCGTGTGTTTTAGGTTTATCCCCCAGCTGGCAAGCCTCGTGACAACCTCCACGGAAACACAGAAACCCAGATAGAGAAAGCCGACAAAGAATGAGTGCTCTGACTGTGGGTGCCACAGCACTTGCTACTGACGTTACACCCATCACCTCGTTTGGTACTATAGTCACAACAGTCCTAGAGATAGGTCTGATTGTTATCCCCACTTATGAATGAAAAACCTAAGAGTTAGCTGAGTTTCTGTGCCTGGGTGTGTACGCCTGCATGGAAGATGCTACAAGCCTTGTCAGCCGTGATTTAAGTCAAAAATACAGGAACCATCACCAGGCCATGACAGGTAGAACAGTGAAGTAAGGTCACCAGTTTACAACAGGAGACTGGAGAGGAAAAGAGCTGAAGTGTCTGCCCACTAAGAGCCATACAGGCACAGTGCAGGGTGGGTGGGTAGGAGGTGGTGACAGCCACGGTGGGGTGATAGGGGCTTTCCCCGTCCAGAGGAGACTAGACAACAGGATACCTAGGAGGATAAGAGTTAGAACAGCTGATAATTTTGGAATTCTTATTACAAAACTTACATCGATGAACTCCTTTAATATAACAACTCTGAAGGATAGATACAGTTGGGTAAACTGAGGCTTCGAGTGTTTTTTATTTTATTTATTTATTTTTTTAAAAAAACTTGTCCCAAATCACATGGTTGGTAAACTGTGGCACCTTCTAAATGTCAGGCTTTTTACGCATTTTACCTCATTCAATCCTTATGGCAACCCGAAAACTCAAGCACTATTATTTTTCTTGTTTTATGGATGAGGAAACTGAGGTTCAGAGAGGTTAAGGAATCTTAAGCTCACTCAATTAATAAATGACCGACCCAAGATTTGAGACATAACAGCGATTGCTCCAGGTTACATTAACGGTAAGTGGCAGAACCAGGGCTCAGCGCCGCCTGACTCCAGAGCCCTGTGCTTTCAGGAGGTGGAATCAACAGGGTTTGCTGAAGGATTAAACCTGTGGGAGGGCAAGGGAGAAAAGGTTTAAGTTTTGGCTGCAGGGAAGTGAGTCAGAGGATATGAAGAGCTCTGGGCCAGGGGCCAGGAAAAACTGAGGGCCTCTGAAAGGTGTCACTGAGGGAGGAATGTTTGGGGACCTCCTGCCTGGCAGTGGCAGGCTCTCACAGCACCTGGGCTGTGGGCACAGGGTTACAAGAGGTGAGGGGGAATGAGGGAATTCTGTTCGTGCCCCCTCACTGCTGCACTGCCTCAGAGTGGAATGGGCCCTGGCTGGGCAAGCCTCACTCTGGGTGAAAAGTGGGAGGAACGACCAATTGCCGAGCTCTCCTGCGCTTTCCCAGGCACTGTGCTTGGCACCACACACACTTGATCCTGAACTGGGTTGTGGTGACGGGGGGTATCCTCATGTTTACAGATAAACTGGGACTTGGCTGGGCACAGTGGCTCAAACCTGTAATCCCAACATTTTGGGAGGCTAAGGCAGGCGGATCACAGGGTCAGGAGTTCAAGATCAGCCTACCAACATGGTGAAACCCTGTCTCTACTAAAAAAAAAAAAACAAAACAACAAAAATTAGCTGGGCATGGTGGCATGCACGTGTAATCCCAGCTACTCAGGAGGCTGAGGC